TGCTTTTTTTTTTTTAGAATTTGTTCACAAATTTTTGCCCTCTTCCTCACAGTTTCAACTTATCTGCAATGTTATATGCAAACCTCTTCTATTTGAGCCCTTTAATTGCTTGCTTGAATATGTGAAGTCACAATTATAACATGGTTGGGAACCACACTAGTGGATCTTGAGGGGTGCCTAATACCTTCCTCTCGAGATAATTTCTAGCCCTTACCCAAACTCTGGTTCTTCAAACTCAAACCCTTTTAGTGTCCTAATGCACTTTAATCATTAGGTGGCGACTCTTCAATTCCAAAATCCAATTCGCAAAAGGGAACGAGTTGTCCTCCCAAATTTTGTAAGCCCGATAGAGGGCCCGGTGTGAAGGGATACATGTACACATTCACGAATCCATTAACACGATCCGTGATGCCCTCATCCAGAGAAAGTGTCTGCAACACTACTTTCTCCCCCGAGCCGCAGTATCTCCTCACTAACTCAAGGTGCTCCTCTCCTATCGAAGAAGTAATCTTCAAGGTAAACTCTCGTCGATCCTGAGCATCGGGACCGAAACTCTCCCCTCTCAGCCGAGCAGGCCCCAATGTAGCAGTCATGATGGTGGCGAAACCGGAAAACTAGAGCGGATATTTGTGCAAGTACGATAGTACTGAAATGACAAAAAGCTTAACACAAAAAAAGGGGGTGGGGGTGGGGGTGGGGGTAACTGCCTAAAAAGGTAGGGTCCCCCGGGAGATAGAAGCGACCCTATATATAAAGAACGACAATGGTTCGCCTACCTGAGAAACCAACGACTTTGCCGCAAGTCCCGAGGTGGTACCCGATCTCGAGGACCTCCATCAAAGGAAAGTTAGGCCCTAAAAAGCTAACGCCCTTATTGCCAATCCCGAGGTGGTACCCGACCTCGAGGATCTCCGTCAAAAGAAGTTAGGCTCCAGAAAGCCGACGATATCATCGCCAGTCCCGAGGTGGTTCCCAACCTCGAGGGCCTCCATAAGGAAGAAGTTATGCTCCAATAAGCCGGTGTCATCGTTGCAAGTCCCGAGATGGTACCCAACCTCGAGGACCTCCGCCAAAAGGGAGTTAAGCTCCGCAGAAACAAACATTTAAACCCCACCCACATGGTCTTGACCACGGGGTACCATCTATGTTTCGATGAAACCTCGTTTGTGATCTGTTTAGAACTCCTCAGAGCTATCTGCGCTAAGTTCAAAACAGATCTCCGGGTGGCTCAGGTTTGAACGAACCCCGCTCAGAGACTGCCCTCAAGAGCTCAAAAGCGGACCTTATTTTAGGGCCCCGAGCTAATTTCCTCTCAAAGATTACTGCAGGATCTAAGTGATAAGTCACGGTTTCAAGGCTCGAGGTATTATTTTCATATAACTCAAAGTGAGGGTCCCGATGGTCCGAGTCTATCGGATCAATTCAAGCTTGGTCCGGGAACAACAGAGGGTTCCGAGGGGTGTCGTTTTTATCGATCGAAGGCCAAAAAGAATACTCGCGCTCGGGTTAGATATTGACGATAGTCGATAGAGTCATACATTCAGAATCTCCGCAAATGTAAAGGAATATAGCAAGCATCAAAGACAAAAGTTGAGAAAATATCCTTATATTCATGAATGCTCGATTACAACAGCCCGCAAGGGGTCCTTACATATGATTACAAAAGCCCACAAGGGTCCTTAGACAGAAACAAAGAAGAAAAAAGGTATACATATAGTAAAAGCCTAGAAGCCTGATCTACTCTCGAAGGTTCATCTCCGGTAGCAGCGTCTCCGAGCGCTACCTCCTCGAACGTGCATCCTCGACGGTATACCTTCGACCGCCACCTCCTCTAGGTTCCTATCTCAATCCCATAGAATAATATCTCCGAGGGAGAAGATGAAGAAGAGGAAAGGCGGAAGATAAAGAAGAGGAAGGTAATGCGGAAGAGGCAGAAAAAGGAGACATAGCCTGCCGAAGCCAAAGGTTGAAGATTCGGCGGGCGTCAACCCTACTTGCACGGCCGCTCCGAGTCCACATTCTAGGACATCGTGCTGTGCAAGATCAGCGGCCGGTTGTGCCATTTTATCCCTTGGGAAAAAACCTGAGGGATAAAGTACCACACCAGGCTAGGGTAGGAGAGTGAGCAGCGGTGTATAGTCCGAACACTCTCCTGAGCAGCGGTGTAGAGTCCAAACGACTTTTTAAGTCGGAAGAACTCGGCCACCCATGTATCATCACCTCGGGCCAATAACGACGGCAATAGCAGTCGTAACAACAACAACAACAACAACAGCGACAGGACGATATAGTCTCGTTTGACAAGGGGAAGCTCAGGCAGAAGGTCATCGCGCAGCATGTAAAAATGCTGCCATACGACCTTAAGGCCGTGAATCCCAAACATGGTGGTTAACAATGGAAGAAAATGGTGATGAGAAAAGAATGGATAGATGTTGAAGACACTTGAGTGAGAAGATAGCACCGGAAAGCTCCCATTTATAGGGGGAGATAGTATGGCCAGTAACACCATCAATGCCTTTAAAAGACGGATCGGCAGGCGCAATCAATGCGCCATCGAAAAATGAGTCGACGACAATATTATGTTCTTGAAGAATGGGATCGGCAGCGCATTGAATGACGCTGAAAAGACAAGTCTATGGGGGATGCCCCGGTTATCGTGAAGGTTGGAGTCATAAGTATGATGTCGTCAATGTGATGTCATCACGGGAAGTTCGAAGAGTCGGATGTCAAGGTCGTTTCTCATCGTTCATCTCTAAGAAACGCGGGGACTATCTGCATACGGCGAAATTGGAGGGTCCAATTTCTCGTCATTTAAGGCATTTCAGAAGATCATCTCGAAGCCTCGAGGCTACAAAGCTATGGCCGAGTCTCCTCCCTTGGGGTTCGTCGACACCCGACCTAGGGACAGTGGTGACCACGATCGTGGTAGAGAAAGGGAAGTTCCCAAGGCGCACGGCTAGGAATGACAACGCCTAGCCGGTCTACACTAAACCCGAATCAGGATGTCATGTCTAGTTGTCCCATCTCCATATCTTTGCAATTGATGCATTTTGTACTATGTTGGGATTCTCCTTCTATGTAAAGGGGATCCTTACCATTTTTGTAAGGCCTGTTGCTCCAATTACTCCACACGAAATATAGAAGAACATTCTCTTTTCTCTCTAACATATTCTCCTGATATTACTGCTTTCGTTTATTATATTCATACTTGTCCTTCATTTATTGCTTATCATTGGCTATAAAAAGCTTTCGTTGATTATCTTACAACTGTTAGCCCTACCCCGAATGCCCTTAATAGCTCGAGGCCCGAGCCCTGGAATCGACCTCGGGGTCCCGTATCGGTCAGCCCGAGGCCCCGATTGGCTAGCTCACCGGTTTGGTTATAACTCTATTTTAGCTCGCGTTTCGTCTCTAAACTTCATACACGTAGCATCATCTGCTTAAACAACTAGCATAAAAATAGATCACGTATTTTTAGAGTCCCATCAACAAATTTAATTGTTATTACCATTTTCACGGTAAACAAGTCTATTACTTTTCACCAGCACGACAGCAATGTATGTAGTAACATTGTCCGCGAAGCATTAAACAAATAGGAAGAAACTTGTTTGTTTTGCTGAAATTTCAAGCATAGTTTCCCAAAAAATAGTAGGAGAACCACCATTTTATTTGTTTTTATCTTTTTCATCAAATAATAGGTATGCTAAATTTTAAGCTCTAATTAAGGGTACAATTTATACAGTCATGAACTTCAAAAGGAAAAAGGATGTGCCATATTTCCATACCTTATAAGCTAGATATTTGTCTTAATTAATAGCTATTGTGTTTGTGCTTATTAGAATTAGAAAGTTAAATATGTTGTTCCAATATTATGGAAAGTTCGTTGACATTATGGCCAATTTGTGTAATGTGTAGATTTATATAACGATCAAATTCAACTTAGTTTTCATGACATGTTATCTTACACAAATAGAACTTAGAACATGTGTATCTTATAAATATTATAGTAATTTAAAGAAGTTATTGAAAAGCTTTTCAAAGTAAAAACAAATACATTTAGATTGAAAAATACCTGAGAAGCACAATAATAAAAAAAGGAATCATTCAATCATTGGGAAACACCATAAATGGATAAAAGTGTAAAACATTTAGTTGGATAACCCCAAAATTCAGCGGACATATATGCAACTAAGTGGGCGTTTGGACATAAGAATTGTAAAATTTCGAAAAAAATGATCTTTTTTTCAAGTGAAATGATATTTGAAAATCAGAGTTGTTTTTGGGCACGAATAATATTTTGGGTTATTTTTAAATTTTTGTGAGTGATTTGAAATAAAAATTTTGAAAAATAGCTTTTTGGAGTTTTTTCAAAATTTTGAAATTCATCTTCAAATGAAAATTCAGAAAAAAAATATTTAAAAAAAATCTTTTTTTTTGGGCCAAACGGGACCTAAAATATACTCCCTCCGTTACGTGTATCTTATAAATATTATAGTCAATTTAGATGAGCTAGTTTGACTCAGTACAAAGTTTAAGAAAAAAAGAATATTTTTGAAACTTGTGTTGACAGTGGTACCAGCTCTTTTAAAGAGCTAAAGGCGGCGATACATTTCACATAAGATGGAAGTGAAATAACCTAGTTTCACTTTGTTATTAGCCTAGTTTCTAGAAGCCTCAAAGGTTAATTATGTAATTACACATATCTCAGTTAGTGGTAGATAGGTCGGTTAGTTAGGCATTTTACTTTCATTTTTCATCACTTTGCTTTGTATATAAAAGGTATTGTACAGTACATTACAAGATAAGAGAAAATTGGGATTTTCCCTCCATATCAGTCGGTTATTTTTCTATCAAACTAACATGGTATCAGAGCTTGTGCTCGATCCACTACTGGATTGTTCCAGAAAATTCTGCTGAGTCTTCTGTGACTCAGCGACTGCCCTTTCTCATTTTCGTCTTCGTTTTTTTTGGTTTTGTTTCTGAAATTTTGGACGCCATTGATGGAGGAAGAAAATTCTTTTGCACAGAGATTGATTGTAGTAGAGAGCTCCCATCCTCTCTACTTGAGTCCTTCCGATAATCCTGGGACAAATCTGGTATTCTCTCCCTTCGATGGATCTGGATATGCAGATTGGAGAAAATCTATGTTAATTTCATTGTCAGCTAAGAATAAACTAGGGTTCATTAATGGAAAAATTACAAAACCTAGAGATGATTCACCTTATTTGGATATATGGACTAGATGTAATGACATGGTAATGGCATGGTTGCTCAATTCATTGACAAAAGGGATACGATCCAGTGTATTACACTCCAAATCTGCAAGAGAGATATGGAAGCAACTTGAGGACATGTATGGACAATCTGATATTGCACAACTTTTTAGCTTGCAAAAGAGACTTTTAGAGACTCTACAAGGTTCACATGATATAGCTTCATATTTCAATAGTATGAATGCAATTTGGGATGAATTAGAGGCATTAGAAGCAAGGGTTTCATGTACTTGTGTTGAGTGTGTTTGTGACGCAAAACAGAAAAATAAGGAACTTGATGATAGACAGAAATTAGTGCAGTTTTTAATGGGACTTAATGAAACCTATACTACCTGTAGAGGGAACATTATGATGATGTATCCCACACCAAGCATTGATAAGGCCTACTCACTTCTTCTTCAAGAGGAAAGACAAAGATCAATACAGCCTTTGGTTTCTTCTCCTTTAGAGTCCAGTTCCTTTAATGCTTCTGCACAAAAGATGGGAAACTACTTAGGGCAAAGAAAATCAAATTTCACTACATATCCTGGTAATGGAAACAAGTTTGGTATGCATAAAGGAAATGAGAAAAACAATCTTTTCTGCACATATTGCCAAAAACCAGGTCATACAGTTGAGAGATGCTTTAAAATTCATGGTTATCCAACAAATTTCAAACCTAACAAGCCCAGAAGGTTTCAAAATCAGCATACTGTACAGAGTAATGCAGTGTGTACTGAAGGAGAGCATTACAGTAATCAAGGAATGACATAACAGAACTCATCTTTTGGACAGCATGTTTCACAAGGAAATCAGAATATGAACAATGAATTTCCTAATGTTCAAAGTCAAAACAGTGGTTTTCCTAATATGCAAGGACCTTATGGTGCTAATAATGTGCCCAGTGTTGTGGGAATCAGTCAGGAACAGTATTCACAATTGCTGGATATTCTACAACAGGTTAAAATTGGTCAGCAGGCTGCTTCAAGTTCTGAGGTCAATGTAACTGCCAACTGTGCTGGTATTGCCCCCATTTTACCCTCCTATCTTTCTGATAACTCTTTTGTGCACTCATGGATCCTTGATTCAGGTGCTTCTGAACATATGACCTTTGACAAGACAATTTTATTTGATATATTACCCCTTTCACAACCAATAACAGTTAACCTTCCTAATTCCTACAAAATCAAGGTAACACATGCAGGAAAAGTGATTTTATTTCCAGACATGACCTTGAATAGAGTCTTATATGTTCCTTCTTTCAAATTCAACTTACTATCAGTACATCAATTTTGCTATCAATTTAGTTGTGATCTGACCTTTAGTGCATTCTTATGCTCTCTGCAGGGCCCTTCTTTGAGGAAGGTCTTGGGTCTTGGTAAACTTAGTAATGGACTTTACATCCTCCAGTCACTCCATCATACTCCTACTGGACTGTCATCTGCTAAGACAGAAGTTTCTGCTTCCTTTACTGAATGTATTAATAGTAATTCTACTCTTCCACCTGCTTCCATTGTTTCATGTCACAATGTATGTCATATTAGATTGGGTCACATGCCTATCTCTAGTATGAAAAACATTCAGTGTTTACCTCATGCTGCTTTTAATAAAGATTCCTTCCCTTGTACTGTTTGCCCTTTAGCAAGACAACACAAATTGCCTTTTCCATCTAGTTCCATTACTTCTTCTCATGTTTTTGATCTTATCCACATTGATACTTGGGGACCCTATAAGACTCCTCCTCATGATGGTTTTAGATACTTTCTTACAATTGTTGATGACTTTAGTAGGGGTACTTGGACTTATCTTTTGAGCACTAAGGGCAATGCTTTCACCATTCTTCAGTCTTTTATTTCAATGGTTGAAAGACAGTTCAATACTAAAGTTAAGAAGGTTAGATCTGACAATGCTTTGGAACTTGGTTCTAGCATTGTTGCTACTGCATATTTCCTCTCTAAAGGTATCCTTCACCAAACTAGTTGTGTAGCCACTCCCCAACAGAATGGGGTTGTGGAAAGGAAACATAGGCATCTGTTGGAAGTTTGTAGAGCCCTTTTGTTTCAGTCTCACCTTCCTATAGCCTATTTGGGGGAATGTCTTCTTACTGCCACATTCCTCATTAACAGATATCCTACCAAACTTCTACACTATAAGACTCCTTTTGAGGTTCTTTTTCATAAATCCCCAGATTATTCCTTCCTTAGGTGCTTTGGATGTCTTTGTTTTTCTTCCACTCTTTCACATAATAGGGGGAAATTGGATCCAAGGGCAGTAGCATGTGTTTTTCTGGGCTATCCTTTTGGCAAAAAGGGGTACAAATTGTTGAACCTACAAACTAAAAAAATCTTCATTTCTAGAGATGTAATCTTTCATGAATCTACTTACCCTTTTGCCTCATCTTCCCCTATTGCCACTCCTATTTTCTCTCAGTCTATTCCATCAGTTGCTGATTACTCACCTATTACCATCTCTGTTCCATCTATTCCTTCCATCTCTAGTCCTGAATCTGCTCCTATTTCCACCAATAATTCTCCCATTCCTACCACTCATTTTCCTAGTTCTTCTGCTACTTCTACCTCTCATCCTACCTCTTCTTCTATCTCCAGTCCTGCCCCTATGATATTGGAACCTGCCTTGTGCAGGTCACTCAGGGAGCATAAACCTCCTTCTTATCTTTCTGACTATATTTGTAGTGCTGTTTATTTGACTGATGTGTCCACTACTTGTTTTCTCAATCCTATTTCTCCCAACACTTTTTCTTTCATAGCTCTCACTCCTTCTAACCAAGGTCTCCTAAATTCTGTTTCCACCATATAAGAACCTACTTCTTATTCATAGGCTGTTATGCATCCTGGTTGGCAGGAAGCTATGGCCAAGGAAATTGATGCACTACTAGGCAATGAAACCTGGGATGTAGTCCCTCTCCCACCTGGTAAGAAGGCACTTTCCAGCAAATGGGTTTATAAAGTCAAGCTTAAGTCTGATGGTACAGTAGAAAGACTAAAGGCTCGTTTGGTCATTCGTGGTGATATTCAAAGGGAAGGGATAGACTTCAACGAAACTTTTTCTCCCGTTGTTAAGATGACTACTATCAGATGCATTTTGGCTATTGCAATTAAACGTGGCTGGGGTTTATATCAGCTGGACGTTAATAACGCGTTTTTACATGGTGATTTATTTGAAGAGGTCTACATGAAATTCCCTGCTGGTGTCCCCTCTCCTTCCCCTAACATGGTTTGTCGTCTTAAAAAGTCCCTTTATGGTTTACGTCAAGCATCACGCCAGTGGTATGCTCGTTTGACGGTTGCTCTGAATTTCAAGGGTTTTTCTCACTCGCTCAATGACTATTCTCTGTTTTACAAGAGGTCAGGGGATTCAGTTTCTTTAGTCGTAGTGTATGTTGATGACATTCTCCTCACAAGTAACAATTTACAGGAGTTGACAGACCTCAAAAATTTTTCCTAGATACTGAGTTCAAAATAAAAGATTTGGGGAACTTATCTTTCTTTCTGGGCATGGAAGTCCCGAGGGAGCCTCAAGGCTTGATTTTGAGTCAACGTAAATTTGCCCTTGAGCTCTTGGATGAGTTTGACTGTGCTGGCCTTAGCCCTGTTTCATCTCCTTTTGACCCCTCTTCTAAGCTTTTCTCTGGTGTTGGTGAACCCCTTTCTGACCCTACTCTTTATCGTCGCCTCCTTGGTAAACTCAATTTTTTGACCCACACCCGCCCGGATCTTTCCTTTGCCGTTCAACATCTTTCCCAATATATGCAGGACCCTCGTCTCCCTCATTTTTCCGCTGCCAAACACTGTCTTCGTTATATTCTCAATGATCCTGGTCTGGGTCTCTTTCTTACTGCTTCTTCTTCTCTCGATCTTCTTGCTTTTTGTGACTCCGACTGGGGCTCTTGCCCAGATTCTCGTCGCTCCGTTAGTGGCTTTTATATCAGTCTGGGTGGTAGCCCTGTCTCGTGGAAGTCCAAGAAACAACCTTCCGTTTCTTTATCCTCCGCCGAGGTTGAGTATCGCTCCATGAGGCGTGTGGTTGCTGAGCTTACATGGCTTGTTCGCCTCTTGGATGACCTTTCTGTTTCTCCTTCTCTTCCTGTTCCTCTTTTTTCTGACAGTCAAGCTGCCATTCACATCGCCAAAAATCCCGTTTTTCATGAACGGACCAAGCATGTGGAACTCGATTGCCATTTTGTTCGGCAACAGTTCCAAGCCGGTCTCATTTCTCTATCTTTTGTTCCCACTCACTCCCAATTAGCCGATCTCTTCACGAAACCTCTTCCTGGTCCTCAACATCGTTCTATCCTTGGCAAGTTGGGGGTTTTGTCTTCACCCTCCAACTTGAGGGGGGTGTTGACAGTGGTACCAGCTCTTCTAAAGAGCTAAAGGCGGCGATACATTTCACAGAAGATGGAAGTGAAATAACCTAGTTTCACTTTGTTATTACCCTAGTTTCTAGAAGCCTCCAAGGTTAATTATGTAATTACACATATCTCAGTTAGTGGTAGATAGGTCGGTTAGTTAGGCATTTTACTTTCATTTTTTCATCACTTTGCTTTGTATATAAAAGGTATTGTACAGTACATTACAAGAGAAGAGAAAATTGGGATTTTCCCTCCATATCAGTCGGTTATTTTTCTCTCAAACTAACAAAAACCTGGGCAGCTATTGATTTTTCCTTGGCATTCTCAATAGTCCAGTGTTGGTATTGGTTCCACGCAATTGGAATTGGTGCATTCTTCTTTCCCCGTAATAGAACCCTGTCGTATATCTTCCTTGAGAGTCTACATTGGATAAAGAGGTGTTCTTTTGTCTCATTGTGTTCTTGTGTAACGATCCGACTGGTCGTTTTGCCTTCTAGAACCCCGTTCCCCTAAATAAGATTTTCCGTACTTGCTTTAACTGATTTGTAACTTGCGGGGATAGTTGGTTCGGAATTTGAAAGAGTTTGGACCGAAATCGGAACACTTAGTTCCTTAAGGTTGGCTTAAAAGGCCAAGTTTGACTTTGGTCAACATTTTTAGTAAACGGACCCGGACTTATGTTTTGACGGTCCCGGAGGGTCCGTAGGAAAATATGGGACTTGGGCGTATGCCCGGAATCGAATTCCGAGGTCCTTAGCCCGAGTAATGAATTTTTAGTTAAAAAATTGTTAAAGTGAAATTCTAAGGATTTAAAGAATTGAATAATGGTTGATCATGTTGGTATCGGGCCGTATGTTGGTTCCGGAGCCCGGTACAAGTCCAATATAATATTTATGTCTTGTCTGTGAAATTTGGTGAGAAACGAGATTGATTTGACGTGATTCGGACGTCCTGTTGTAAAAATAGGAAATTTGAGTGTTCTTAAGGATTTCATGCGTTTCAGAGTTGAATTCGTAGTTTTAGATGTTATTTCGGCGATTTGATCGCTCGAGCAAGTTTGTACAATGTTGTTGGACTTGTGTGGGTGTTCGGAGTGGAGCCCCGAGGGCTCGGGTGAGTTTCGGGCATGGGTTAGGGGTGAAAAACACCCCAATTTTCTGGTGTTTCTGGGCAGTGTTGCAGGTCTCGCAAATGTGAGGAAATGTTCGCAATTGCGAACCTCGCATTTGCGAGGAAATCATCGCATTTGCGATGAAGCCAGGCTGGGGCAGTTGTCGCATTTGCGACATTTACCTCGCATTTGCGAACCCAGCAGGGTCCGTATTTGCGACCCCTGTATCGCATTTGCGATCAAGGCAGGAGGGGGGCCAGTTTGCAATTGCGATGCTTTTGTCGCAATTGCGACTTCGCATTTGCGAACCTGATGTCGCAAATGCGACATAAGAGGCCTGGACACAGCTTTTAAAAACGGGACTTAGGCCATTTATTTCATTTCATCTCTACACTTGGGCGATTCGGGAGCTTTCAAAGAGGGGATTTCAACCTAGCATTGTGAGGTAAGTTATTTCTACTTAATGTGAGTTTAATACTTGGGTTTGGGTAGATTAACGCACAAAAATTAGTAAAAATTTATGGGATTTGAGTAAAACCTAGGGTTTTGATAAAAGCAAGATTTAACCATGAAATTTGTTATGGGATGAAGTAGAAATTATATATTATTGATCCTTAGGCTATGGGTAACAACTTTCTTCAAACAATTTTCGGAATCCGGGCACGTGGGCCCGGGGTCGAATTTTAGGAATCTTGTAATTTGGATTGGGGAATCACCCTAGTGGTTGGCATATAAACCTTTAAGCTTATATTTATTGGTTTCTACGCTATTTGGATAGTTTTGGAGTGTTTGGCACCAAATTGAGGGTTTGGGCTTAAGCTTGGACCGGAAAGTACGCTTTGGAGCGAGGTGAGTCTCCTTTCTAACCTTGTAAGAGGGAATTGTCCCCATAGGTGAAATAATTGGATAATTTGCCACTAAATGCGGGGCTACATACGCACTAGGTGACGAGAGTCCGTGCGTAGTCACTAATATGCGTAAGTCCGGGTAGTCTAGAACCCAAAAGCATGCTTTATGTGATATTCTTGTAACTTTATGATCAATTTGGATTTCTTAAATCATGTTGAATGTGGTAAATGAATTTATAAAGAGGAACTTCATTTCCTTGGCCTTTTAAAGAGAAATTGACATTCTTTGAATAATTGCTTCCTGATATGTCCTTGTCTGACTGTTTGTTGTGTTTAATTATATTTGACTGCGTCGCACGTATGATTCGCGAGCGGGGTAATAGATGCATCTATGGTTCGCGCCGTTCGGCCCTCAGTGCATACTTTATTTTTATGTTGGATCTGGCCGTACGACCTCGGCACTATTTGTGCATGCTTCTTGCTCGGTATTTTTGCGTGAGTTGAACTTTGTTAAATGCCCTGAAATGAAAATGGCTAATTGCGAACTTATCTAGGAAAGGACCTATCACTTCATGCTATGAACTGTTATTTATTTGTGACATCCATGCTTATCATAACACTTCCTTATATTATTTGACCCTAGTAAGTGTCAAGTCGACTTCTCGTCTCTACTTCTTCGAGATTAGACGGGATACTTACTGGGTACATATTGTTTATGTACTCATACTACGGTTCTGTACTTAAATGTACAGGATCTGAGGCTGGTACATCTAGATACCAGTCTGGTGCGCATTCTTGATAGAGTCCCGAGATTCCACAGTGAGTTGCACCTTTCCTATGCCGTTCAGCAGCGTGATGGAGTCTCTCTGTACTTTTGGCTGTCTATTCTAGTCAGACAGTAGGATAGATTTATTCTTGTGTGTATTCTACTAGATGCCCATATATTTGTGACACCAAGTCTTGGCACACACATTAGTACACAATTCTTTTGGTTTGTATAATTATTATCTTACATTGCTAATTATCACTTATTTATGATTCAAATGAATAAATTGACGGAACTGCTTTGGAAAAGTAAAACGAGGATTTACTAATATGTAGAGTTGGCTTGCCTGACAACGGTGTTGGGCGCCATCACGACCTGTAGCTAAATTGGGTCGTGACAACATGGTATCAGAGCACTTGGTTCACGTAGGTCTCACAAGTCATGGGCAAACCTAATAGAGTCTCGCGGATTGGTACGGAGACGTCTGTATTTATCTTCGAGAGGCTATAGGGTGTTAGGAAACTACTCTTTCTTCATTTCCTATGGTGCTGTGGTTAGTACACTAAATTCCCCCTCTTCTATTCTCTCACAGATGGTGAGGACGCGCACAACAGCCGTTCCAAACCCGGGAGGAGCTGCTCCCCCCGTTGCTAGAGGCCGAGGCAGAGGCCGGGGAGGGCAGCGGCCCGAGGTAGGGGACGAGTGCGTCCGAGAGCTATCCCAGTAGCACCACCGGCGGATCCTGTGGAAGATCCCATCATTGAGGAGCAGGGCGAGGTGCCTGCAGCTGAGCCTACCCCGGCGGACTTCATGACAACACCGGGTTTTCAGGAGGTCATGGGCCGCATGCTGCGGTTCATGGACACCATAACTCAGGCTGGTTTATTTCTAGCGGATCCAGCCACGTTACAGGCGGGAGGGGGAGCACAGACCCCTACTGCTCAGGCTCCTGGACATGCGACTGTAGTATATCAGACTCCGGGTGCACTACCCGCAGGTGGGGCTCAGCCAGTTGCTGCAGGAGTACCCGAGCCCGGACCAGCTGCGGGTGGTGATCCGCAGAAGTTGTTGGACAGATGGACCAGGCTACACCCTCCTGTCTTCGGGGGTGAGCGTCATGAGGATGCCCAGGATTTCATTGATAGGTGCAGGGACAGACTGCACAACATGAGGATATTGGAGTCGCATGGGGTTGACTTCACTACTTTTCAGCTGGAGGGTAGGGCCCGTAGATGGTGGCAGTCGTATGTTCTTGGCAGGCCAGTAGGTTCTCCTCCCATCACTTGGAATCAGTTCACGCAGTTAATTCTGGACAGGTATATCCCACCCTCTGAGAGGGAAGAGCTACGGTATCAGTTTGAGCAACTTGAGGAGGGTCAGATGTCTGTGACCGACTATGAGGCGAGGTTTTCTGAGCTATCCCGCCATGCATTGATGATACTTCCCACTAATGCGGAGAGGGTGCGGAGGTTCGTTGCAGGGTTGCATTCTGGCATTAGGGACAACATGGCCCGAGAGGTGGAGATAGGGACTCCTTATCAGCTAGTGGTGGAGATTGCTCGGAGGATTGAGGGATCTAAGAGGTAGGGAGCAGATGCAACAGGACAAGAGAGCTAGGTTCTCCGGAGAGTTCAGAGGTGCCCCGACTAGGGGTAGAGGTCAGTTTGGGAGGGGTCAGCCTAGCAGGCCCCCACATTCAGCACCACCACCTGCTCGAGGTTCTCCAACGCGCCCCTATTTTAGCGCCATGCCAGAGAGTTCTTATCGCTCGCTAGCTATTCAGGGTTCTTCCAGTGGGTATTCAGGTCCCCAGGGTTCTTCTGGTTCCTATTTCAGTGCTATGCCAGAGAGTTCTTACCGTCTACCAGCTATTTAGAGTTCCTCCGGTGGGTATTCGGGCCATCAGGGCCAGGCTTCCGGACAGTAGGCTATGGTGCCGAGAGGTTGTTACGAGTATGGAGATCCGTGTCACATGAAGAGGACCTGCCCCGGACTTCGGGGCAAGGCAGTACAGCAGGGTCAGCAGCCCATGATTTCAGCACCGGTTGCCCAGCCGCCTAGAGGTGGGGGACAGATAGGTAGATGCCGTCCTAGAGGTGAAGGCCAGACAGGGAGAGGTCAACCAGCTACTGCTCAGTCAGGGGGAGGCCAGCCAGCCGACGCTCCCGCCAGATTCTATGCTCTTCCGGCCAGACCAGATGCATTAGCCTCAGATGCCGTTTTCACATGTATTATTTTCGTCTGCGGTAGGGATGCTTCAGTGCTATTTGATCCCGGGTCTACCTATTCATATGTGT